GATGTTAAGTATAAGTCTCCTCCTTGTTCGCAAACTCTCTAAGACCTCATCATTGCTTACACACTCGGTCCATGATATCCTTAGCATCCTTCTGTAGAACCACATCTCCGTTGCCTCAAATCTCTTCCTCATCTTTGAGAAAATCATTCAACATTCACTCTTGTAAAGGAGGACATATTCTGTCCATGGTATTCTCAGGATTAATCAACAGAACCATATCATTTTTGCATTGAAGGCAAAAGAGGGAGCAAAGGTCCTGAGTCACCTGCTTCCTGTTAGGAAGCATCTTCTTCTTCTTCTTCTTTGGTAGGAATTCTTGATCTAGGCTGTTTATGAAAAATAAGCAGGGATGTCAACTTAAACATGTGTACCAACTAAAAAACTTTTGTAGTAATAAAAATTAATGTCAGATAAAAAAAAAAGTCAGTTTCAAATTTTATATATAACTAGCAGTAGAGCCCGGCGTTGCCCGGGGATGTAACAGTAAGAGATAGATCAAGTATCAACCATCATAAAGACTGAAAAACAAAATTGACAAAGATTATTGTTTAAGGTTGACGGACACGCATGTCTTAATTAGTTTTCTTTTTGTTTTTTTGTTTTTTTTACGAATTGGTCAAACCCAAACTGAAACAAAAACATTGTTTTCAATCGTTATGAGTCTATTGATTGAATAGATTTTTATTATAAACAATAAATGGAATTTTTAAAGCATTCTGAATGTAAAAATAAAGAAAAAAATGTGCAAGACAATAAGAAACACTACCTGCCAAAAAAAGTGAAGTTTTGTTGAAATCGGTTGAAAAATCCATCCTCTTTCTTAAAAACAATTTCAAAGGGACCGTTTGACCAACACAAGGACTGACCAAAATTAACAATCGAAAAAACAAATGAATACTACAGATAAAATTCACTTTCTTCAGAAACAGTCATTCATTCCTGTAGTTCACTGCTACTAACAAGTAGGGATTTTTTCTCCTGATGATGGCCATACTGGCCGAAACTAGTCAAGGAACTTAATTGAAATAATAAAACAAAAAATATTAATATACAATCCAGTGTGTGTGGAAATTTTAATTTTTTTTTATATATTTTATTGTTATATATATATATATATATATATATATATATATAAAATGTATGAGATAATGATACAATTACAATATTGGGGAAAATATATGACAAAGTGGAAAAGTTTTCTTGTGAAATGTTTTGGCCTTTAGGACTTCAGAAAAATTTACGATGGTTCAACTACACATGCACATGAGCGAAGGATGTTGAGAATGTTACTTTTAAGTTTTTAAATTAATTTTTAATTTCTCTTTTTTTTAATCCAGCCAATTTCATTTAGATTTTTTTTCTTTTTCTCGCCATAATGAGACTGACCACAATTTTGACATAAAAGTCCCTGCTTCGTCTATGAGGAGATTGCCCAGAATTGGATAATAGGAAGACTGATATTTTGTAAAAGTTCAGTACTCTTGTTTCTAACAAAAATTTCCTATTTCTTAATAATTTGCTTAGCTTTAGGAAGTCATCTTTTGCTATTGTTCTTGTTTGATTTTGGTACTTCCAATTTGTAATTTGCATTTTGGTCTCATCCTTTTCTTAATAACCATGAATTCTGTCTTCTTACAATTGATGTTTAGTTATTTCTTTACACTTTCCTTCATCAACTGCTATAGGAGTTCTTGTAGTTCTCTTTCTGGGTCTGCTATCAACATTATCATATGAATATTATGTTGTTAAGATTGTGTCCACTAATAATAAATTGTGGTAGGACTTCAATTTCTCTTGGGATTGCCTCACTTTGAATAAATCTGGTGAGAAGACACACCCTTGTCTTACATCTTGTTAATGTACCTGTGTACACACATTCGATTATGTCTATGATGTATATAGTAAAATCTGTGTACAGATTTCTCGATAGATAAGTACGTATATAGATTGTGTTTGTTGCTCTTTGAAGCATCATGTCATTTCTGGTTCAGTTTCCTTCAGCTGCTCTCTCTCTCTCTCCTTCCCCCTCTCTCTCTCTCTCCTTCCCCCTCTCTCTCTCTATCTCTCTCCTTCTCTCCCTCTCTCTCTCCTCCTCTCTCTCTCTCTCCCTCCCTCTCTCTCTCTCCCTCTCTCTCTCTCTCCTCTCTCTCTCTCCCTCTCTCTCTCTCCCTCCTTCTCTCCCTCTCTCTCCCCTCTCTCTCCCTCCTCTCTCCTCCCTCTCTCTCTCTCTCTCCCTCTCTCCCCCTCCTCTCTCTCCTCCCTCCCTCCTTCCCCCTCTCTCCCCTCTCTCTCCTTCCTTTTCTCTCTCCCTCCTTCTCTCCCTCTCTCTCCCCTCTCTCCTCCCTCTCTCTCTCTGTTATTTTGCATCAGTCTGTGCTGCATTACATTCGATCATCTTTGCAACCGAAGGTGAGGATGACACGACTATCAGCTCGCTTCCTGGTAGAGAGTCAGTCAGTTTCCGCAGGGATATAAAAACAAGATGGTGGTGTTGGTGGGA